CCCCAAAACCCCAAAACCCCAAAACCCCAGGACTTTAATTTTGTGATCAATTTGGAAGTTAATAATTTGAAAATTTGAATTTGATACATATAAAGATATGGTTAAATTTTGGTTCCAAATTTGAATATTTAAGTCAGTTGAATTATGAAATTATAAATTTCAAACTTAAATGAATAAGATTTAAACAAGAGGTCTGGTGATCCTTTATCTTATCGCATTCCTTCATGCTTCAAAAGTTGCAACAACGATTAAGACTGTAGACTAATCTAAAGCTACAGCCTTAACTCTTGCTCAAAGCTCACTATAATCAGGATAAAGTGCTTGGGAAGTTTCGGCTTAGGTAGCAAACGTTGCTGAGAAAGCAGGTGCTTTTGCAAAAGATATTGCAAAGGCGGCTGAAAGTGCATCAGCATTGAAGAGTGTTGCTGGAGCAATTGCTGCTATCGGTCCGGCACTTGCAGCATTAGGTGCTGTAGCTGCATTTGCATAGATGTTTTTCCCAAGTCCAGTAGAAATGAAGCTTGATGCAATCTAAGATTCAATCAATAGCCTCTAGAATATGGTGTCAGATAAGTTTGATGAATAGGCTTCACTCATTAAGTCTATATCATGTGGAGCGTAACTTTCACAACATCTTAATGAAATCGAGACAAACTGGAGATACTATTAAAGTTATGTTAATAGTAGAGGAGCTGATCCTGCTTATAGAGCATTATTATAAACCTTTGATGGCGTTCCTGAAGCAGCCATTTTCATTTTGAATGCCTTGAATGGAAAAGTTACTAATTGTGATATTATCCAAATTCTTTACGAAGGGGATCAGCAAAATGGATTTATGAGAGGAAGCCCTAAATATGTTGCTGCAACTCAAAAGTATTTGATGGAAGTCCAAAAAGCTATTGCAATGATTGGTGTATGGTATGTTAAGACTGCAAACTTCTAAGGAAACTAAGTTGCAGGTGAAATTGAATTCATTTATGGAAGACATATTAGAGATGCATCAGATAGAATCTAAAACTACATTCAAAGATGCTATGATGAGTGGTAATCTAATGCTGAGTTCAATATGAAGAAAATGTATCCGGCCTTGAAAGAATAAGGACCTACTGAGGTTGTGGTAGCAATCAAGTAAAGAATGAACGAGATTCTCTATGACTAGCATGTATTCGTAAACGTTTATGAAGATCCTGAAAACGGTGAACATCATACCATTATGGGACAGAGATGGGCTGTGTTGAGAACCAGAGATTTAAATCTAGGCAAGAAACTATTTATATCAGTTGTTACTGCACCCAAATCAGATACTACTGACTATACTGATAGACTTCACTTTAGAAGAGAGCTTGATGGTAAGATGAACAGCTACATGAATGTACAAAACTTCATTAACAGCTAATGGGGAAATATTTCTAATAGAGGACTTGCAGGCATTCACATATGGAGAAAGGGTGATTGGTGGTAAGAAGCCTACAGAAGTGATGAAAAGCCGGGTATGTGGTACTGTAACCTTAATGGGAGACTCCATTTCTACACAGGATCTTGGTACAAATACTACCTTTGGGCCTGAAAAATCAAGAAGATCTATCGATCCTGAATTCAAATTTCGCTCGCTGAATTTGAATTAATTAACTTGTTTCTTTCAAAAAAAATTCCATTCCATTTATCAAAATAGTTAATCACACTTTAAATCTCTAAATTTAAGTTTCCTGGGGTTTTGGGGTTTTGGGGTTTTGGGG